GCATCCATTGAGATGAAATGATAAATAGCACAGATCGCTTGACGGAGAGTGAAACTCTGAAGCGCTCAGTCAGAGTGTTTGGCGAGTGAAAATATATCTGTGCTAAACTTATACTCAGCCTCCAACTCACACACTGGCGAGTAAAATCTAATAATTTATTAGCCATTGGCTAATATTAGACATCATTTAGTCGCCCAGAGTGAAGATTTAGTCGCATATGCGAGTGATTTACTCACAATGTAGAGGGTTGATTTAGCTAAGTCTGTTTGACATATCTTTGGGTTAGTTTTGTCTCTTTGTGTAAAAGTGTAATGCTAGTAGTAACACCCTTTTCCTCAGCAGTTGAATCATTTATAAGATGGAGGGTAATCTCAGCCTGACCCATGCAGTCTGATTCAGAGACACACATGGGGCTAAAGATCACATGTAACATTAGTAAATTAGCTTGTTGCTTAATCCCACAGGAGATTTTTGGATAATGGAGCCCAGAGGGCAGGATTTTTGGGTTGAAAAAACTGGATGTATGAAGTGAATAGAAATTGAATAGAATGTAAAAGCAAAATGGGGGTGGAAAGAAAAAAGAAAGGCCTGTTGTCTGCAAATATAAAATGTTTATGTATAATCCAACTCACTTGCTTGTTAGTACAGCGTCTGCTACTAAAGCAACTAACACCAGAATGTTTTGTGTTGTGACCTTTGTTTTGTTTAAAACAAATGCCGTCTTTCTTTGCTGGCTTCATTAGCATGAGTCAAATGTAGTTCTTTGTACCTCTCAGCCCGTGATTTCAGTTGTGCCCTTGACATGTGTTCAGTCAGGCCAAGGCAGCGGGCCAGGGAGGAAGCTGAAAGATTCAAGTGTTGCTTTCGGTGGCGGTGGCTCTTCGTCTCTGATTCAGGAGGTCAGTAATCACCCCCACCCCCTATTCCTCATTTCTGCTCTCTTTCTGCACTCACACCCCCTTTTACTGGCCCCAGGCCTCCCTGTAACATCCCCTTCACCCAAACAGTAGTGACAATCTGGAGAACTTACGCCTGTCTTGATGATAGCGTTATAGACAAAGACTGTTTTTCTGCTAGATGAAGCGATAATGTGCAATCTTTGTCCAAACTCTCATGAGTCATTTAAAGGGGTAGTACACTCAAATAAAAAAAGTGTTTGCTTGTTTCCATACAATGAAAGGCAGTGGTGTGCTGTGTGGTTCTGAACCATTTTGGCTTTCATTGTGTGGACAAACAAAATACATTTTTCAAGATGATGATGATTTGGGTGAACTATCCCTTTAAATTTCTTAAATCAGCTAAAATGCTTACTAGTGTATCGCTGTATGAAATAACAAAATGAAAAATAATATTCACTTGTCAATGTTTTGTTTAGTTCTTGGGTTAGTTTAAAGGTAGATTTAAAACACGTGCATGAACGTGTGAAAACATTTAACATAACCTGATTCGTTTATTTGAGTGAAGAAGTAATTCAGCTGCTAAACATCAACAAGCCACTTGTGAGACAAAGTAATGTCTGTCCTAACTCCATAGTTTGATACAATCAGGGTTCAATTTAATCCAGTGCTGAATTCATGAATAAGTGCTACTCAACTGACCGGCCAGTGCCCTACATAGTTCACAACCCACATGCAGCATAGAAGGCCTGCTTTGTTTTTAATGGCCAGCAATGAATTCAAGGGTCAAATAGAGCCTGAATTCCACAGGCATGTGATTCAACATTCCCCACCTTCATGAAAGAAACTTCAATTACAGCGGACACTTTAATGCAGAAGACAGCTCTGTTTTAAAGCCGTTGATCATTTCACTCATTTAAGAAGAGCACTTTCAGTACTATTGCCATGGATGTCATTGACTTCCGACTGACTTCCACACCTCCATGCTAAAAGATTTGCAGGTCAGTAAAAGAGATCTCTGCTACAGCAGTAGAGAAACAGGGAACAATTAATAGTTGAAACAGCATCAGACGCCTCTGGATCCCAGGGATTGTTTATTTTACAGATTTTGCCCTGCACCCAATTCCTTTCCTGCTGCTGTAAAGATGATTTATCAGGTCTGAAGGGAACTATGAAATATTTGAAATGAAAACAAGCTTGTGTTGCGTTTTGCTCTGAGGGTTTGTGTTTTTTTCCGACTGGTTCAGTTGTTAAAGAAGGCCGAAACCTAAAATATTTACACTCTAAAATAAAAAGCAACAGCGAACACTCACAGAAAAAATAAAACAGTGAAATGTGGTTTGTGAAGAAATGTGAAGAAACAGAGCAGCAGGGGGGTATTTTTAAATTCATCTTAAATGTCTGTAGTTGTGATGTTTTTACTTTATTCCTCAAACACATATCCTCAGAAGCAGGAAGGTTTGATTTCCTCCAGTTTGCCGGTCATAGTGAATGCATTGTTTCACATGCTGTTTAAAAAAGAAGAACATTTGCAAGGTCATTTATTATGTTTTCATAATAAATAAACCAGAAATAAGTTTAGGCTGTTTATAAGAAATGTTAGTTCTGATCTTTCATATTTTTTTATGAGGTCTAAGAGCTCTGATAAATGATATTTTTAGGTGTTTTTGAGATGTACTGGATTTTTTTGTGTAATCTGTCTTTAAAGAACATATCCTTATCACTGAATGCAGGTTCTCAGTGATTTATTCAATAAATAAGATTCAAAAATATGTATTTCTAAGCAGTGAGATGCATTTATCACCATATAAATATCATCATAGAAAACATGTCTGTATTTAAAGCTGAAGTCCGTAACTTTTTTTGGTTAAAAAGGATCCGAAATCAATATTTGAGCAAGTACATAACCAGCCAGTGTTCAAAACTATCGCCTTACTTTAGCCCGATTCACAACGGTTAGCTTATAATAATGTTTTCTAATTTGAGTGGTACGGGTAGGTTTTCGTGGGAAATTCGAGCATGCTGCTGCGTCATTACGTCACTTCTGTAAACATAAAGAAGTTGTCCCGGCAAATAGGCTATCACATGTGAGAATCCTGCAGGTGGCAGATAGTTTATAGCCTTTTCTCACAGCAGCCAGAATAATTAAATGTATTAATTAAATTTAGATTAAATCACCATTGGTAGCGCAATTTATTGTAATGCTTTTTTCCTCAGTTGGTCAGAACAAACGTGGCAGACTTGTTACTTACTTGTTCAGATGACAGTATCTGGTGAAAATTCTTATTTAGGTCATATATTCCAAGACATAGGCTAGAATCTGTGATTGCGAAGTACAGTAAATATCCACACCGGTGTGGTGACTGACTGCCACACATACGCCTCAAAACTTAAGATTCATCCACGCTGGAGCCGAGCCGCCGCACAACCCACGCAAGGAAGATAATTCCGCAGACAGCTGCAATTGCAGGTTTTCAAACAGAGATGGCAACAAAGAGGCAAAACTAACGGACTGCAGCTTTAAGAAATGTCGATATTTTCTGCTGTATAGCATCAAGGAAGTTACTCCAGCAGGAAATCAAGGAACACGGATTCTAAGGATTCTAAGGAAATAATGATTTTTGCTGCATTTTATGTGAATTATGGTAACAACAGACCGTGTTGAACCAATCAAATGCCAACTGTCAGCAGAGCAAAAAGAAAATGGACTCTGACCTTCAGTGAACAATAAAGTAAAGAGCAGAGGCTGCTTTTTGTCCACGCCATTTGTGGAAGATTTCAATATTGTGTAAGAGTACCGGGATCCTCTGATAGCGTCTATTGAATGTTTGTATGCCTGTGTTTACCAATCACACTTCTTTTTGTATTTCACTCCGAACTCCGTTCCATTCATTGGTGGTAAATAACAGCACTTCCACAGAGGAAGGGACAGCTTGAAATGGACTTCTTCCGAAGATATGGATTTGATATTTTCCTATGTGAACAAAAAAATTTAATTTCTGCATAAAAAATGTATGTAGAATTAAAAAAAAAATATATATATAGGGATGCTTTAAAAAAAAAAACTATTTTAGTTCCCTCAAATTCCTTTAGTGTTTGTTAGCTTACACTTTTTGTCTTTATCTTCCTCTATCTGTTTCACAGGTGAGAATTATTTTCTTAAAATAGCTAGGCACTCCAGCTAGTGTCTGGTTTATATATAGGTGAACACAGTTGGATTAATAGAGCTAAAAGTCATATCCGTGTAATACTCTAGATCCCTTCTTGTCCCTTCCTCCCTCAAAGGGGTACAGGGAAGCAATCAGTAAATTCTGATTGAAGTCCTCACTAAATCAATACAAACCAGATATATCCTGTAATGCCATAGATCCACAGCTGAGCATTGTTGATCCTCACTCTGGTTTGCCCCTTCTATCTTTAACTAAATAGCACATTAAATTGGGTGACAGAGCAAGAACTGATCACTCAAAATAGTATATATCAACAGTTTGTTTATCCAATGAACAAAAAGCAGTAAAAGATAATGTAAGATGATTTTTCCGTATACAAATAAAAGTGCAGCCATGCATAATTTTTGTGTATTGATGAAGTTGTTGGGTCGAAACATGTCCAATCATGATTGACCGCACTGTTAAAAAGCAGCCAATGTTATCAACAGAGGACATTATCCACTTCTCCTAGGATGAGGCCTAATGAAGTTAAATAGAATTTTGACAAGATAATGGATTTGTTTTCCTTCCTTGATTCCATTCTCTCCCCCTCAGCGCTCATGATAAACTGTAGAGAAGAACTGAGAGGGAAACGGATTATTCAAGGCTGCTCGCAAGGGGGACGAAAGATCAATAACGAACCTTTTTGAGAAAAAACAGAAACATCCAGTGAAGGCCTCCACAATTTGGGTTCGAGTTAGTGCTTAGGTGCAGGAACTAAATTCTTAGAGTCAGAGAAACCGTAAGGCTTGGCACTGGATCTGGCCTCTCCTCAAGGGGTGATCGCTAACCAATAAAAATTTACAACACATAGCTGAGAGGAAGTAGCTTGTACAGTGACCTAGCTACACAATTACGTGGTGAGGTACGCTACTGTTCAGTTTGGGGTTGGTAGAATTTTTAAAGCTTTTGGGGGGGGGGAAAGGTCTCTTTTGCTCACCAAGGCTGATCAAATATACAGTAAAATCGATAATATTGTGAAAAAAGATTACAAATTAAATAACCTTTCTGTTTTAATAAACTTTAAAATGTAATTTATTCCTGTAATGTTAAAGTTGAATTTTCAACAGCACTACTCCAGTCTTCGGTGTCACATGATCCTTCAGAAATCATAATATCCTGATTTGGTGCTCAAGATACATTTCTTATTATTATCAATTTTGAAAACTGCTTCATATTTTTGCGGAAACAGTAATACGTTTTTCTAGGATTCTTTGATGATTAGAAAGTTCAAAAGAACAACATTTATTTGAAATAGAAATCATTTTTAAAATTTTACAAGTCACTGTTGTTTTTGATAAATTTCATCCACAATCAATTTAATTTCTTTAAAAAAAAAAAAAGAAGGTGGACAGCAGTGTGTATTTTGTCACATTTTTAATATCAGTAAACTATGATGTTGTACCATGTTTCATTATTAATGTTAGGTCAGAAGAGTAACACACACTGACTCCCAGATAAAGAAAAAAATATGTTACTGTCACTTTAAGATGGCTCCCAGGGAAACATGATCCTCTCTAATCAGCATTTGCCTCTGTGAAATCTAACATGGGCTTGCTGACTCTTCGTTTCTGTTTAGCATAAGCAGAATCTGATGACCTTTGACCTATTTGTAGACCTCACCCCCTCTCATCGCCATAAAACTAGGCTTGCTGCACATAGATTCCTCACTTGGTCATTGATCATTAAGGAGATCAAAGGGTTAGTGAAACGATCAGTCGTGGCACACGCTATCCCGTGAGGCGATTGGTTGAACAGTCATCTCGTTCTTAAAACCTATACGCTAGTGTGGCA